TTTGCACAAGACCTAAATTTCAACGAGCATAACTCTCAAAATATAAAGAGTTATATGGTGTACAACCTACAAAATTAAAGCCCTTTGAGTCTAGGTTCCAACGCATCAAACCTTTCGTCATTTGGATAAGTATACAGAAGGTTATGGCCATTTTACTATACCTGTGTCATATGCGCGCCCAGATGCGCGGCCGCGCATATTTGAGACTTTCTACCTCAAGTGCACGGTCGGATGCGAGGCCGCTTGCCCAGCTGCGCGGCCACTTGCCGCGCACGTAGGAACCCATTAAATAACCCCAAGGCCGGGTAGGGAGAGGGGTTAAGTCATTTTTGAGGCAAAAACTTGATATTTTAGAGAGATGTAAGAGCATTTTAGAGAGAGATGGAGTAAACCTAACATTCCAATCATTCAATCTTGCACCAATCTTCAAGAATCAAGGAAGCTAATCACAAGATCTTCATCAAAGATGTACGATTCAACCCCTAGTCTTCAATTTCGAGTTTGGGGTAAAAAATTGGTGATTGGGAGTATGATTCTTGGGTGTAAGAGTAATATGTATATATTCTTGTACCAATAAGGTTTGTGGGAAGATTGTTGAGATCAAATACATAAAGATAGGGTTGTGGAATGAAGAAATCTTGTAGAAGAACCTTGTAACCAAATTTGCACATCTAGTGTTTGATAAAATACTCAAATGAGCTGAAACCATGAAACTCTTCCTAATTATGGTTCACTTTTGTTATGTTTCTAAATAGATTGAAGTTTTTAGGATTTACGGAACCTCGTAGTAATGTAAGGAAGGCTCAAGAAAGATTGGAGTTGTCCGGAGGTCAATTCACGTGAGAAAGCTTTTTTGGAATATCGGCCTAAGTGAAAAAAGGTTAGTGTCTTTCTTAACCTCGAGTGGGGGAATTACCCCTTAGGCATCGAGTCTTATGTGCCATTTGTGAATTGTGAAAAGTCGTGTATGCGAGGTGACGAGTACGTACTCGGGCTTATATGTACAAAATTCATTGAGTTAAAGTCTTAGACATATTGTGTAGTAAATTGGATAATTGTTGGCATATATTTAATCATTTATTTATCGTGCCAAAATTCTTGTTGTTGAATCAGTTGTTATATGACAATTTTGATGTGATTGTTACTTGATTATTTATGTGATTCAGTGAATTTGTTGGTTTGATAATTATTGGAACTTAATTTCATTATAAATTTTTCCTCTGCAAATAATTAATTAAATGAGCTTAAGAAGAGGTGTTTATATAATTATTGAAAAATTAATTTTTATGAAGACTTTGGTTTATGTTGAGTAATTTCTATCTCTATTGATTGTTTTGGGGTGTTGTACGCATTGTGTGGAGCTTTTGGCTATTTGATGTGAAATTAATTGACTTGGTTGTAGCTTTGAAATTTGGTTGTGGCCATTAGGCAAATTGTGATATGAATTGATTTTTGTTATGTTGCTATGATAATTTCCCGTGTAAATTATTTTGTTGTGTGAGTTATTATTTTAAGGAGATAAGGGTGCCATTTCACCGTTGATATTATGTGGGTATAAGGGTAGCATTTAACTATTGTAATATTTGTTGGAATATTGTCTGGGCAGAGCGATAAGGGTGGCTATTGATATTGCCAGGGCGGAGGGATAAGGGTGGCTATAGGAGAGATAAGGGTGACTATAAGAGCGATAAGGGTGGCTATTGATGTTGTCAAGGCAGAGGGATAAGGGTGGCTATTGATATTGTCAGGGCGGAGGGATAAGGGTAGCTATAGGAGAGATAAGGGTGGCTATTGATATTGTCAGGGCGGAGGGATAAGGGTAGCTATAGGAGAGATAAGGGTGGCTATAGGAGAGATAAGGGTGGCTATTGTCAGGGACGATATGTGATGATGTGGAGTTATGGTGTTGGTGATTTACTTGTGATGTTGTGATTTTTTTGTGTTTATTTTATACTTTGTGCAATTTGTCTTTTTGTTGGTAAATTGATAACAATCTGATTTATGTTGAAATTGAGAGCATGTGGCTATTGCCAGGCGGATTATAAAATGAAATGTGGGCACGAGGTGTCGTGAGTAAATAATGAGGATATTGGAACGTGAATTGTCCGTGCAGTTGTGATATGAAATGAGGGCACGAGGTACCGGGGAAATATGATGATTTAATTATGGGCACGAGGTGTCGTGAGTAAATAATGAGGATATTGGAACGTGAATTGTCCGTGCAGTTGTGATATGAAATGAGGGCACGAGGTACCGGGGAAATATGATGATTTAATTATGGGCACGAGGTGTCGTGGAAATATGAAAAATAGGCTGAGACCAATCTTTACGAAAAATATGAAAATGGGCTGAACCCGTATTTTTATGATTATGAAACGATGTGTCACATGGTGACTTTTTAATTGAAAGAATTATATTTAAAAATATTTATTTGGAAGCATTTTTATCTAGAAAGTATTATATGAAAGAATTGTATTTGAAAGATGTTTATATGAGAAAAATTATATTTGAAGAGATTTATTGAAAGAATTATATTTGAAAGATAATTATTTCAGCAAATTATATTTGAAAGAGAGTTATTCGAAAGAATTATATGTGAGACATTTATTTGAAGAACTTGATTTAATTGGGTGTATTTGTATTTATTAATTGTTGAGCGATATTAATGGCATTATTGTTGTCTGTTGTGCATATCACTGGTTGTTTTATGTTGCCCTTATTATTATTTGTTCCTATTATTTTGTATATTATATTGCACAAGTTATTAGACTAGTGAGTGTCTTGACTGTACCTCGTCTTTACTCCACCGAGGTTAGTCTTGATACATACTAGGTACCGACCGTGGGGTACTCATACTACACTTCTGCACATTTTTGTGCAGAACCAGGTATTGGAAATATCGGGCTTGAGCAGAGTTAAAGCGGGATCGTAAGGATTCAAGGTAGAGTTGCTTGGTCGTCGCAGTCCTTTAGAGTCTTTTCATTTCATTGTACTGTTAATTTGTAATCAAACAGTATTGTATATTCGGTCCTCGTGATCATTCCATGTATTCAGTTAGAGTTCGTGACTCAGTACTACCAGTCTTGGGATGTTGTATATTTATATTTGTTTCTCTATTAGTTTTGATTACTTCTTTATATAAAAAAAAATAGCTTTAACAAATGTTATTGAAATCGGCTAACATAGTCTTAGAGACTAGGTGCCATCACGACGCCTGTGGTGGGATTTTGGGTTGTGATAATTTTATTATTGACACGTGAGTTGTCCGTGTGATGGTGATAGAAATATGGGCACGAGGTGCCGTGAAAAATATGAAAGTGGGCTGAGACCCGTAATTTTTATGATTGTGAAATAAGGTGTCACATGATGACTTTTAGTTGAAAATATATTTATTGAAAAGTATTATATCCTTAAGATTATTATTTGAAAAACATATAGGCGAAAGAATTTATATTTGAAGGACTTGATTAATTGGTTGTACTTGTGTTTCTTATTCGTCTGAGCAATAATTATGATGTTCTTGTTGCATTGTTGTTATATCACTGGTTGATTTTGCTGTTATCATTGCTAGTTATTTTCCAGTATTATTTTGTGTACTGTATTGCATAGGTTATTAGACTATTGAGTGTCTTGAATGTACCTCATCTCTACTCCACTGAGGTTAGTCTTGATACTTACTGGGTACCGATCGTGGTGTACTCATACTACACTTCTGCACATTTTTGTGCAGAGCCAGGTATTAGAAATATCGGGCTTGAGCAGAGTAAAAGAGGGATCGTAAGGATTCAAGGTAGAGTTGTTTTGTCGTCGCAGTCCCTTAGAGTCTTTTCATTTCATTGTACTGTTAATTTGTAATCAAACAGTATTGTATATTCGGTCCTCGTGATCATTCCATGTATTCAGTTAAAGTTCGTGACTCAGTACTACCAGTCTTGGGATGTTCTATATTTATATTTGTTCCGCTGTTAGTTTTGAATACTTATTTATAAGAAAACAAAATGGCTTCAAAAAATGTAATTGAAATCGACTTACTTAGTCTTAGAGACTAGGTGCCATCACGACGCCTGTGGTGGGATTTTGGGTTGTGACAATTTTATTATTAACACGTGAGTTGTCCGTGTAATGGTGATAGAAATATGGGCACGAGGTGCCGTGGAAAATATGAAAGTGGGTTGAGACCCGTAATTTTTATGATTATGAAATGAGGTGTCACATGGTGACTTTTACTTGAAAATATATTTATTGAAAAGTATTATATCCTGAAGATTATTATTTGAAAAACATATAGGTGAAAGAATTTATATTTGAAGGACTTGATTAATTGGTTATACTTGTGTTCCTTATTTGTCTGAGCAATAATTATGATGTTCTTGTTGCATTGTTATTATATCACTGGTTGATTTTGTTGTTATCATTGCTAGTTATTTTCTAGTATTATTTTGTATACTATATTGCACAGGTTATTAGACTAGTGAGTGTCTTGACTGTACCTCGTCTCTACTCCACTGAGGTTAGTCTTGATACTTACTGGGTACCGACTGTGGTGTACTCATACTATACTTCTGCACATTTTTGTGCAGAGCCAGATATTGGAGGTATCGAACCGGACAGAGTTAGAGTGTGATCGCAAGGATTTAAGATAGAGCTGCTTAGTCGTCGCAGACCCTTGGAGTCTGTTCATTTCATTGTACTATTAATTTTTAATCAAACAGTATTATATATTTGGCCCTCGTGATTATTCTATGTATTCAGTTAGAGTCGTGACTCAGTATTACCAGTCTAAGGAAGGTGTTATAATTATTTTCGCTGTTGGTTTCGTTTATTAAAAAAATCGACTTACTTAGTCTTAGAGACTAAGTGTCATCACAACGCATGTGGTGGGATTTTAGGTCGTGACATTCGCATAATGGTTACTCCTTCCAGGTGGAAGGTTTCAAGATTTGGAAAGCAAAGAAAAGAATTAGATGGTTTGAAGACACCGTTGCAGAAGTACAAAGATGTCAGGGTTGGACAATTAAATACATAAGAATGCTTTTATAAGTACTATAAACAGGCAGTAAAAGAGATAGCTCCTTGACACCATTTCTGGGGACATAAAGCATCCATCTATCGATATCTGCATATGAAGTCGAAAGTGCTACTAGAATTTGAAGGTCAAAATTCAGAATGTCTCCAAGGCAGAGTAAGAGAATCTCATCTACTGTTTGTTTGAAGAAAGCTGGAGTTTGTATTGCTAAGCTATCAAAGAAGTAGTCATACAGCAGCAGACTTGGAACCATGACCCAAATAAATCTCCATTTTCTTGACAAGACACAAGTTCTTGCACCATCTTTAGGTGGCAAGAGCTCAACGATACTAGCTAAAATGTGTCTTGGAAGATCACTGATTCTATCTTGTTTGCCCCCTTCAATATCAGCTCTCTTTCTATCTGTTAGAAGAATTTAGAATTTAGTATCTAAAAAAAAAAAAGATGGAGAGAATTATATTGTATACCTTGGGTACTCATGCTGATTCTTACGGTTAGAACAGAGCAGAAAGTGCCTTTTTCTTCTGCTATTTGCTTTTCAACTTGCCCTAATCTGTACAACAAAGAGCCCAATTCACCATCCTCGACATTAATCGAACAACTAAAGAGTATGTAAAATAATAAGAGTGAAAGAGTTATAGCCTATTTGCTCACGCTTCTTTTTGGCCAAAAGTGTTTTTTTGTTGCGAAATGTACTTTTTTCTAAAGTTAAGGTGTTTGGCCAAGATTTAAGAAGGATAAAAAGTGCTTTTGAGCGGGAGCAACAGTTTTTGAGAAGCATAAGAAATTAGCTTCTCCCCAAAAGTATTTTTGAGAAATATATACTGAAAAACACGGTATAAAAGCTCAACCAAATATTAATTACTGCTCAAAAGTAGTATTTTTCAAATTAAGTAGTCAAACACAGACTGTTTATCGCCAAAAGTACATTTTTGAAAAACGCTCTGATTTTATAAGCTTGGCCAAACAGGCTATTAGTGGGAAAATGTTGAGAAATGTGGATTATGGATTCTAAGAGATTGAGTTCAGTTAGAATCATAGTATTCAGATCATCAAGTGTCTTTTTCTTATGCTATCTGCCTTTCGAGGGGAGACAGTGTTGAGCAGGGGCGGAGCAAGAGCGCTACGTGCGCGTTCAGCCGAACCCAATAGCTTTGGTTCAAATCATGTATTTATTTTAAAAAATCTATTGAATATGTATAAATTACTATTTTATTACCCAGTAACTTAAAACAATTAAAATCCCTAATACATAAGCTTAAAATCATGGTTCTGCCTCTGGTGTTGAGTGGCAATTTAAGTGAAGACGCTAAGTTATAGCCTCAATTAGGGGAACCAAATGCTAATCTCATCTTGCCCTAATATGTACAGCAAAGACGCCCGAATGATACATTTTTTTTGAAAAAGAAAAAACGGCTAGTATTCTACAGGGGATCAAGCTTCAACTTTGTTCCTTTGACATTGGAGTATGTAAAATAATCAGAGTTAAAGACTTACTGAGGAAATGTGGAGAGATTTGAGTATGAAATTTAACAGAGATTGATGATTCCAGGAGGCAAGCAAGCACCGCAGACAACGAAAGCATAGTTCGGACAAGTTTGAACGACTGAAAGAGTTTCTAAGAATTTCCAGAAGTTGGGCCGGTGCAGTAAAAGATATGGGCTACGGATAAATTAATTGCACGGGCGCCTATTTGGTAGCCCCATTTAACCTATATCCACTTTCTTCTTCTTTTTCGGGTGACAGTGATTGTATATGGTGTTTGTGAACATATTTTAAGGTAGTTTATGATTTTTACAGTGGTGAGCTGTTATGACACTTTATTTTTTGCTATTGCTTAGGGTTTCTGCTTCATTCTTTTTCTTAATTACAAAATGGGTTTGTTAGATTTATTGTTGTTTTGACAAATTGATGATTGAGGTTTGTTCTTGATGGTATTTGAAGGTTATGTTTCAAATTTGAGCTCATTTAAAGTAGATTTAGGTATTAAATCGTATATTGAATTATTATTATTCGAAAAACAAATTTCTGTTTCTGGGCAATTTGCACTCAGGCCTATTTGGCCTTAAGTGCATTGAATTGTTAGCTGCACTTCAGACCTTTTGGCCTTAAGTGCATCTTAAGTACGATTTTTCACTTCAGACTTATTGGACTTAAAAGCATGAAATCATTGGTTGCACTTCAGACCTATTTGGTATTAAGTGCATCTGAAGTGCAAATGTTTCACTTCAGACTAATTTTTTTAACTTCAGACGCGATAAGTTTGAAGTTGATCGTAAAGTGGGTAGGCTTGCAAAATATTTTGCAAAGTGGGTATAGGTTCAATTGTGACCTCAAAACCGGGTATACATACAAAAACGGGTCTGTAGGCCCAAGTTTGACTGTTTCTATTTATCACTTTCTTTATTTTTATTATGGAGTGGTTCGGGAACTTACGAATTATCGGGAGAAAATAAAAAATAGTCATATTTAAAAGTTGTAATTGAAAAATAGCCACAGTTTAAAAAATAATCGAAATTTAACCACTTTTCTTGTAAAGATAAATCTGAAAAAAAAATACTGTTCAAAATTCGAAAAATATTCCAACATAATATACTGGAGTTCCATTATAATATACCGGTCCAGCATAATATGCTGGAAGTTCATACACATGTGCTCCAATCTCCAGTATATTATTCTGGATCTTTCCGCGTGTTGGAGTTCCAGCATAATATGTTGTAAGTTCATACACAGGTGCACCAATCTCCAGTATATTATGCTGGACCGGTCCGTGTTGCAGCAAAATATTTTTATTTTTCAATGACTTTGCAAACCCTGACTATTTTTGAATTACCAGTCCGAAAACTAGCTAGCCCGTGCTATTTTTACCGAATTATCAGGTTGATTAAGTGTCACGACCCAATTTCACCTGTAGGTTGTGATGGCGCCCAACACTACAGCTAGGCAAGCCAA